TCCTGCCTCAAAATGAGCGAGTTTGAGTCACTTGTACATCCAGGAAGTGTTCAGAATAGCAAAACAGAAGCGAAGAAACTCGACACAGAGGAACATTTACACCTCACTGCCCACTAGCGTTTCGGAAGTGTTAATGCAGACCAACGGAGACAGCGCGCAGAAGTATAAATGCCCAGCCACGCGCGTTGCCTGCGCCGTGAGTTGCGCCGGTCACTTGACGCAGAAGTATAAACCAGGCTTAAGATGCTGTTGTTTAACTGCATTGCTTTATTGCATTCCTGCATTGGGCTCTCATATACTTTCTGGCTGCTATTTCATAGCCGTGGTGGTCTTTTCTTTCGACCAATAACAACAGACTGGGTCATCGGACCAATCAGCGCAGATTAGCTTCGCGCTAAGGAGGGGTTTGGGAACAAATGAATTGCTGAACGATGCAAATGGAGTCGTTGGGATAATTAGGTAAAAACAAATGCAGATTATAAGACAATGAAAGTGTGTTTTGACCTAGACGCATATCAGCCTGTCGTTGGAGACCCCTAAAACCAAAAGATGACCTTTTAAAATGTAAAATAGTGGCTCTTTAAATCAGGTCTGTAATGTTTCATCTTAGCTTTTCTTCATTAATTAAAAAATAGTTTGCTCTCCTCAGAGAAAATGAGAATAAAATCGAATTTGTTCTGCTTAGGCCTGTCACAATAATCAATACATTTTTGGTCATGCAATAAATACTCACCTGCCACTTTATTAGGTACACCTGTCCAGCTGCTTGTTAATACAAAATTCTAATCAGCCAATCACATGGCTGCAACTTAATGCATTTAGGCATGTAGACATGGTCAAGACAATCTTCTGCTGTTCAAAGCGAGCATCAGAATGGGGGAAGAAAGGGGATTTAAGTGACTTTGAGCATGACATGGTTGTTAGAGCCAGACAGGCTTGTCTGAGTATTTCAGAAATACCCTCTATATATATATATAACACACATATATGTCAATTAACACATTTTATCAATTTTAAATTAATAGAAATGTTTTTCACATGTGTTTGTGCGATACTTTGTAGTGTGCAATTTAACACAGTTGCCTCTAGGAGTCGCCAATGGAAAGAAAACAAACACACACAAGTACGCCAGACATGAAGTTTGTGCAGACCAACGCACATTCCCACATTCATTTCATCGTAAGTAAATCTAAACGTGAGCGTGAAACCTGGCGTACGCAAACTTTTTGTGCGTACGCAGCATTGATACATGAGGCCCCATATGTCCATGTTAGCGTAGCCAGTAGTGACTTCAAAGTAAGTGAAAGATCCAGAAGGGCATCCTGCTGATTTCATTCAGAAGAGCACTTTTTTTGTCAGACGGCTCACCGGTTTGACTTTCATTCACCGTCATTATTTTAAAAAAACACCCGCAACATTTTATTTGTATATGTTTTACTGGAATGCATAATCTCTACAGGTACCTGATAGTTAGCTGTGGAGCTAATATTAATCAGACTCATAGTGAACACTTAAAAATCGTCATCATAATTTACTCGAGTGCACCCCTCAATGTCTCGCGCCCCCCTTAATAGGTGCTGGCGTGCCCCACAGTTGATAAACCCCTGATTTAGATTGCAGCTATGCAGTTTATTTATAAGGATAGTGCCTGTTTTAAATATTCATCATTTCTGATTCAGCACGTTGGCGGTCATCAGCCTGTCATACTGAGCAGAGCAAAGACGGTTGACGTTCTGCCACAAGATGGCGACAGAGACTGCATAATAAGTCCTAAGAGGAGGAAAACAATATTTTCTCAGCGTACATTTCAAACTACAGCTAAAGCCAACATGAAACTCTTATTTTATTTCTAAACTTTGATGTATTTCCATAACTGGATCATGAATAAAAATCTGCTGAGCTAGATTTGATGATTGCATTGTACAAACTGAGTCTCACACAAAAATCAGAAGCTGGAAAATAAGAGTTATTATTTCAAAGACAGAGCAATTGATCACAATTTGATGAATGACAGCAAAGACAAACATCTGTTTTATTTCGAATAAAGTGCACGGATGATTCGTCCACACATGTTAGGAAAATAAATAGGGCTGATTGTGATTTCATGTTGACTTTATGTCCTCACATTATGATCTATGACAACATGCAGAACCAGCAAGCGTGAGAGAACAGAGAGAAGCGAGAGTTTGGGAAAGACGCTTGTGCTTTTCTTCTGTCCTGGTGACATGTCTGGCATGATGATTGACAGCTGTCACTCGGTTTCTGGACAGTGTGAGGGTCATGGGCTGATTGACACGCTTCAGTAACACTCATAACTTTACTGTAAACATACTCTTCAGTTCACAAATGCACCATCAGTCTCTTCAGAGGATAGTGCATGTCGTTGTTTTGTTTCGGAGGGTATTTTAAAGGAACGGTTCACTCAAAACCAAAAAATTATTTACGCTCCCTCCAAATATTTATGGTGTTTATATATATATATATATATATATATATATATATATATATATATATATATATATATATATAAATATATATGTATGTGTGTGTGTGTGTGTGTTTGTATATGTATGTATATATATATATATATATATATATATGTATGTGTGTGTGTGTGTGTGTTTGTATATGTATGTATATATATATATATATATATATATATATATATATATATATATATATATATATATATATATATATATATATATATATATATATATATATATATATATATATATATATATATATATATATATATATATTTATGTGTGTGTGTGTATATATTTAAACAACAGTTCTGTGGTTCTCGAATCTGATTGACTGATAGCTGTGCGATTTTCCCGTAATAACAGCACTCGTACAGCCTCTTTACCCTATTCACCCTGTATTACTCCACCCACAAAGAGTGACAGCAGATGAATTCATCATATTAATAGACTCACTACAGTTTGACAATTATTGCAGCTGTTGAACAGTGTAGTTTTGAGCCTTTTTAGGTGAGAATGTAGTTGTTTAGATTGCAGCTTTGTAGTTTATTTATAAGGATAGTGCATATTTTAAAATATTTATAACTTCGGAAATTCAGTGCGTTGGCAGCCATTAGCCTGTCATACTGAGCAGAGCAAAGATCGTTGACGTTCCGCCACAAGATGGAGACAGAGACTACATAATAAGTCCTTAGGGAAGAAAACTCGGCGAAAAATTTCTAACTACAGCTGAACAAATCATCATAAAACAGGTTAGTGACATTCTAAGTCGATTTCTCTTTTTTGTATGTTGTATTGCTGTATTTATACCATAGTAATCTACTAGTCTTTGCTTTGGCTTTTTCAGAGTTAATAATTGTGATCTCCTGATTGCAACAGAGAAATACTGGGAAATCTCTGTAGACAGAGGGCAATTCATGCTATTTAGCTTTATAATCTTAAAATGTGAGCAAAATCAGCTGTTTTGTCTTCACTTTAGATATTACGCTAGAGAATCATTCAAACACTAGCTCTAAAGTGATGTTGGTGAATTAGCAACGGTTTCTTCTGTTCTGGCGTCAGCTGCAGATGTGAATAATTGGTCAAAGAAAGTAGTTCCTCTTACAAAAGGATTTTTGAGACTCTCCGTTCTTGATTTTCTTTTTTATATACATGATTTTATTGATTTCTTTTGTCTTACACGCTTATGCCGTGGAACTGTAGTATAAACGCAATATCACACTCGTAGCAGTGCGATGTGGCTGTATATCATCACTGGTGTATCACACGGTCTGTGGCCTCGAGCTAACGCATGCCTCCCACCAGTGCCGATATACAGCCAAATCACACTGCTACTCGTGTGATATTGCTCATATATACGTGTGCGTGTGTATGCATACACACACACACACTATATTACCAGAATAAATGTTAATTGAATAAATTTGTATCAAAAGTAAATTAATAAGTAAAAAAGGCAGAAAATATTAAAGCAAAATTGAAAACACTTTTTAAAGGCTAAATTATTATTTAAAAAAAAATCTAAATTTTGTATCAAAAAAATCTAAATATTATTAATAAAATAAAATGTATTGTTTCAATTTTCATTAAATCATTTTCTTTCGGCTTAGTCCCTTTATTAATCAGGGCTCGCCACAACCAAATGAACTGCCAACTTATCCATGTTTTATGCAGCGGATGCGCTTCCACCTGCAACCCAGTACTGGAAAACACCCATACACTCATTCACACACATACACTATGGACAATTTAGCTCACCCAATTCACCAATAGCGCATGTGTTTCGACTGTGGGGGAAACTGGAGCACCCGGAGGAAATCAAAAATAATGCTGAATAACGTTTGTTCTGTAGTTTTAATCCAAATACAAAATAAAATACTACTTTTATAATAATATAACTTTATAATAACATCATGCTTTTTTAAAGCTTGACATTAATCATTTCTTTTGACTTAGTCGCTTATTTATCAGGGTTCGCCACAGCGGAATGAACCGCCAACTTATCCAGCATGTGTTTTACACAGCAGATGCCTTTCCACCTGCAACCCAGTACTGGAAAACACCCATACACACTCATCCACAACGGCCAATTTAGTCAATCCAATTCCCCTATAGCGCTTGTGTTTGGACTGTGCGGGAAACCGGAGCACCCGGAGGAAACCCACGCCAACACGGGGAGAACATGCAAACTCCACACAGGAACGCCAACTGACCCAGCCGAGGCTAGAACCAGCGACCTTCTTGCTGTGAAGCGACAGTGCTAACCACTGTGCCACCGTGTCACTCTGACATTAATCAATCAATTCTATTTATAACTATGTGTGTTCCACAGGGGAAAAAGATTCATAACATCGTAAAAACACCACGAGAGCGAGTAAACCATGACAGAATTGAGTGAACTGGCCCTTTAAATTCTCATCCTGAGCACTTAAAACAGACAAACATCATCGTTATCATTCATAAAGTCATATATATTGCAGTTCCAGCGTGTGCTCATAAGTCTAGTAATCACTCTCAGACGGTCGTAACTCTCATCACCACCTCTCTGGGTTTGCTGCTGCTGGAGTTGGTGTTGGTGCTAACGTTGCCGCTCAGGGTTCGAGTCTCGTGTGGCCGTAAGTGGCTCAGCAGCTGCAGGAGGTTATATGGACAGTGTTGATCTGGTAAAGTGGTCCCGTCTGCATCCATATATTCTCCTGTAGAGTCCTGTGAGTCCGCTGTGTTTTCCAGCACTGGAGAAGCGGCAGCCGCTAGAATAGAGGACAGTGATGGAGAGATGTTTGATCCAGTGTTCTCTCTCTGCTGGACCAGAGTCTGCGTTTGCTCCTCGCTGCTCTTCTGCTGCTCGCTGTCCCGCTTTTTGTCATAGTTTAACACCTTCCACTGCTGGTTGACCGCCTGCCAGCGATGGAAGATGCGGAAAACAGACGGGCCCTCGTGGACGATTAGTGCTGCGGAGAGAAGGAGGGATGCATAGTATGAAGACTGCACAATATAAAAAATCTGACTTGTGATATTTTTTTTATGCAATATATATTGACATGAATACAATTTCACCAGATGGCTTAAAGGTGAAGTATGTAAGTTTGACACCCAGTGGTTGAACTAGGTATTGCATTTATGGATCAAAGCAAATGCAAGCGCAGGTTGCCAGATTGACAACACCAACAGAAGCGAGTTTTAAATTAAAAGCAATGGATGATAAAGTGACAATGCTCACCTCATGTACACCTCATGTGATTTATTAAGTGTTAAATGCTTATAATGTGCGTTTGAATGCCATTTTACAGGACATTTATTGCCATACTACTGAAAGCAGCAGCAGATAGTTCACCTCAGATCTAGTAAATAAAATAAACCGTCTGAAACTGAACTTCATAACTGTGACTCTTTATTAGAGCATATGTCAGTGATTCAGCATCTACATTTAATAATGTTAAATTGGTTTAATATGCAGTGCTTAATTGGTAATTTGTGAGTTCCTGGAACAGATCGGAGTAATGAATGTGGCATGTTACCATGTGGTAACAGAGTGGTAACAGAACATTTGCGCAATCAAATTGGTGGGTCAATTTAAGTGAATAATAGCTGGCGTTAGTAGATTCTATATACAGTGCATGCGTAAAGTATTCATCGCACTTCACTGTTTCCACATTTGTTTATATTACAGCCTTATTCCAAAATGGATTAAATTGATTGATTTCCTCAACATTCTACACACAATCCCCCATAATGACCATGTGAAAAAGCGTTTTTGAAATTGATTGAATTTATTAAAAATAAAAAAGCTGAAAAATCTCATGTACATCAGTATTCATATCCTTTGCTAAATACTTTGTTGATGCACCTTTGGCAGCAATCAAGTCTTTTTGAATATGATGCCACAATCAGGTTGGATGGGAAGCAACTGTGTAGCTATTTTCAGATCTCTCCAGAAATGTTCAATAGGATTGAGGTCTGGGCTCTGGCTGGGCCACTCAAGGACAATCACAGAGTTGTTGTGAAGCTACTCCATTGATATTTTGGCGGGTCATTGTCCTGCTGGAAGATGAATTGTCGCCACAATCTGAGGTCAAGCGCAATCTGAAGCAGGTCTTCATTCAGGATGTCTCTGTACATTGCTGCATTCATCGTTCCCTCTATCCTGACTAGTCTTCCAGTTCCTGCTGCTGAAAAACATCCCCACAGCATGATGCTGCCCCCACCATGCTATTAGTGGGATGCTATTAGCCTGGTGATGAGCGCTGCCTGCTTTTCTCCAAACGTAACGCCTGGCATTTACCCCAAAGAGTTCAATTTTAAAATATCTGCAAACATATTATGGTGTTTTTATGCTTTAGATGAGTCAAAAGCTTAGACACAGCACCTTTAAATAGCTCTATTTGGAAAAAATCTTGAATTTAGATTGACTGGGGTAATTTTGTAAGGGTGTGAATCATGTATAAAAATAAAAAATAAACTAATTGAAAGCAAGAATAATTGCAAAACAGCTAATGAAAAATGTCAAATACACATCTCTTTATGGTTTCTCTGAGAGACAAACGGTAGGTACAGAAATTGGATCACACTTTACAATAAGGTTCATTAGTTAATGTTAATTAATGCATTTACTAACATGAACAAACAATGAACAATACATTTACTACAGTATTTATTCATATTAGTAAACATTAGTCAATGAAAATACAGTAGTTCATTATTAGTTCATGTTAACTCATGGTGCATTAACTAATGTTAACAAGCATGGACTTGAATGTTTATAATGCATTAGTAAATGTTCAATTATGATTGATAAATGCTGTACGTGTGTTGTTCATGATTAGTTCATGTTAGTAAATGCATTAACTAATAAACCTTATTGTAAAGTGTTACCCAATATAATAATTAAACAATAAAATAAGATGCAATATTTAGTGATTTTATTTTAGATAAGCTTGCAAAGATTTATTTTTCATTTTAAGTACAGTTTCATTTAAACATCTTTAAATAAATAGGAATGAATAATGTCATTCTTCCTGTTTAGAATTTAACTGAGCCTTTATTTGTCATTTATAAGGGATTTATAAAGCATGAATAGTCCTCACTTTAGATTAGGTCACAAAACTGCATAATGTTGAGTTAATAAAGCATTTATTAACATATATAGTAACCATTACTATATGCCTGAATAATAAGACATATAAACGTTGATTTCAATAGTTTATTAATCATTTACTAACTTTTTCTGAATGACCCTAAAAACCCTCAACTACTCTTAAATAAAAACGGTTTGTAAATAATTTGATACTTAATTTAGTAATGAAAAATAAATCATTAAGTATGAAAATACAGTCAGTAAACACATTATATAGGTGCTTATAAGTCAAGAATAGAGCATTTGTAGCTGCAGTTATAAACTGCTTAGTAACGTTTATTAATGTAGAGTTAATGCTTAACAGATAATGAGTTCACTATTTGCTAATGCTTAATAAATGATTTATAGTGTGTAGTTATTAGAAAGTGCTACCACTTATTCTTCATTAAAATTTATCTCAACTCAACATTGCAGACTCTGTTATGCGACTACTGTGCACACACACACATACACACTAATAATCTGATCTAGTGGTTCTGTCTGAAGAGTCTCTAATCTAAACTCCTGCAGTTTCCCTCTGATTTCTGTCTGCTTTTATCAGAGTTTGCATTGGAGGTGATGTTAATAGAGGCAGACGGCAGAGTCTGGCCCAGATCCTCTTTATTTGAGACTCTCTTTTTTCTCTGCGTGTGCTTTAAGCTGAACTTGTTTGGGTTGTTTTTTGAAATAGCGAACAAGTCATTATTATATTAAGTAAAGACCATGTTCCATTATACATTTACTACTGTAAATATCTCATAAAACTGTATAAATATCAACTTGTGTGTGTGTGTGTGTGTGTGTGTGTGTGTGTGTGTGTATGTGTGTGTGTGTGTGTGTGTGTGTGTGTGTGTGTGTGTGTGACTTTGTTCATTAAATCTGTGAGAATGTGAATTTATCACACACAGATTCATGTTAGTGATGCTTTCATCCATCTAAATCACTGAAACATGAGGCAGTAATATTAACAAGTTAATATTAATACTGATGCATAATCTTTTTCTTCATTTAGATGTGAATCTGGCTGCGTTCAGCTCATGGTCACTGATTCATTGTCAATCACAGAAGATGATCTGAGGTATGTTTAGTTTTTTGTCAAGGTTTTCTGCTTTCATTCTAAACACATATACGGACTGCACTCATATTTAAGTAATCTTTGATCTTTTCATATGCATGTATTAATTTGACTAAGCAAACATGCTCAACTTTTGAAACCCAGAACGTCCTCGTGGTGAATCAAAAGCTGAACTGCATTAATCCCTGGCTGAATATACTGCATTTAAACTTAGGAATCGACGGATATGTACTGTACTGTCAAGGCCAGTTCATAACTGGGATTATTTCATTACGTTTTTCTGTTTGCAGATGGCAGACTGTAATATCTCAGAGGTACAAAAATAATCATAATTTTATCATAATTCTCATGTTTACAAGACTTTTTGCACTTTTTACGATTCTATCTGCACAACTCTGGTTTGCACTCATTGCCATATGCCCTTAATGTGTTGTATTGTATTGATTACAAATTTTTCTTTCTTTTTTTATTCTTTAGATCACATTTTATGTACATATTTAGACAAAATGTAGGTATATATTCAGATTACATTTTATGTATAATTGTATTTATTGTAAATTCTTTCTTAAAACTCTACTTTTTGAATTAACATCATATGTTGGGCACCTCGGGTCTGAGAGTAACGTAATTTCGATTCTCTATATGTCCTGTACATGTGGTTGAATTGACAATAAAGCTGACTTTGACTTTGATAACTCTTTCAATGCTTGCTTCGTACTTGTTATTATTTTTTCCCCAATTAATTTATTGGCAAGAAATATATTTGAAAAAAGTTGCCATTTAAATTAGTTACAAATATAAACTGTTTTATTTAGCGCTCTGAGTTTGAGAAAAGCGCATTAAAAATAAAATGCATTCATTCATTCATTTTCCTTCAGCTTAGTCCCTTTATTAATCTGGGGTTGCCATAACGGAATGACCCGCCAACTTATCCTGCATGTGTTTTACACAGGTGATGCCCTTCTAGCTGCAACCCAACACTGGGAAACACCCACACACTCTTGCATTCACACTCATACACTACGGCCAACGTAGCTTATTCAATACACCTGTACTCAGGGGCGGATTTAACCAATAAGCAAGATAACCGGCCGCTTGGGGCCCCAGGAAGTAGTCAAAGTAACAGGCGAGAGGTCGGAAGGCAGGCAGCAGACAGATAAATAAACAAGGCGAGGATCAAAACACGGCAAAACAAGACAAAAGAAACGCGTCGTAATGTCACAGATTACAAAACTCAGCGGCTGCATCCAAAACCGCCTACTACTCAGTAGGTACTGCATTTAAATTTAAACGTACTACTCAGCCGTTTAAAAAAATACGGTCTATACAGTGTGAATGTGAAAAGTATGAATGGAATTCGGACATACTACATCCGCCATTTTGTCTTGGTCACGTAACCTACCTGCGTCAGTTGCGTCGATTATATCCTATTCATGAATTCTTTCGCCGGCCATCATGGGATAGCGCAGCGTGCTCTTCAGAATCTCGCCGGTAGTAGTAAGTCAGCTAGCTACTTTTCGCATTACTGATTTTCGAATTCTATGAATTCAGATATACTACACGGCTAACATACTGATTTTAGTGTACTATATATCACGTAAGTATGCGGTTTCGGACGCAGCCAGCGACTAGAGTGAGTGTTAATAGAGTGTGTAATCGGTCCTTGACAGTCCTCCGGTGGTGTGTGTGCAATCAGTCAGGATCAGGAACATGTGTGTGTGAGCGGAGTGCATGTATGGAGTTGTATTCCATGAAGTGGCGGATTTGTAGTCCCTTAGCGCCTGTGAGTGTTTTCCAGCGATCTATGGTGTTTTAGATCGCTGGTGATTGTGATACCTCTTCCCTACAGGAAAAACCAGCAACAAACAAGGATGCATAATTATATGGCTTTGCAATCTAAAAATGTGATTATAATCGAAGTCGGTCCGACTTTATATTAGTTGGCCTTAACTAATATGTACTTACACAGGAATTAATAGTTTGTTACAATGTACTTATTGTGTAAATACATGTATTTACTGTGTACTTATTAAGGGTGTCACGATTTCGATTTTTAATCGAAATCGATTGAAATTTATGCTCAATTTCGATTATCGAATCAAAAAATAGAATCGTCGATGCTGCCACGCCCCCATGTCACGTCAGCTTGGCTTGCCAAGCGGGAAAAAAACAGGCTTGTTGAAGTGCTTGTTAAACAGCAGAAGCAGGAGACCCGTCGACAGAGCTTAAACCCTCTCCTCTTTCAATGAAGTCGCCGGTGTGTAAGCATTTTGGATTTCCAGTGAGTTATGTTGACAACGTTCGTGTTGTCGACAAAAAAAACACAGTTTGCTAGCTCTGCTATATACGTATTACGGTATTTACACTGTCTTTGTTTTTAAATGGCATTTTAGAACGACAACGATCCACATCCACACTGGCGTGTAGCATTTCTGAGCAGCCCTCCTTCCTCACTACCGCTGAAAACGCACATCACGTGACCACACACACTCATTCACACACAGACACAGACGCACACACATTGCCATGCGCTCGAGACAGCGGGTCAAGGCAGTCAGTGGGTCAGCAGACTGCTTCCATCTTTTACTTTCACACAAGTACTTAGTCATTTTATCGAACACCTCAGATACTGTTGGCTGGTTCCTGTTGGTTGTGCATCTTTTTTACCGACGCCATTATAACGACACAGATCACTGCCAATTCACGAGTCCCGCAGAAAAAGTGATTGACAGGTGGTAATTATGTGTGTAACTTACCTTTATTCATTTACTGTATGATTTGTTTATGGGTAAAACAAAGACCATGCAGGTCAGGTAGTTTAAACGGTAGGCTACAAATAATTAATTGGTCATGCGAATCGTGCCTTTAGAATCGAAAATGTAATCGAATCGAGGATTTGGAGGATCGTGACACCCTTAGTACTTATGCTTGATTAAATACATGTATGTAATTACATCTGTAACTAACTTTTGTAATTACATTTGTAAATACACTGTTGACCATCCCTTACACCTTAACCCACCCTTAAACCTACCCATGCCACCAAACCTGTCTATAACCCAACCTCTATCCCAACTCAAGAGCACCACAAGTGTTCTCAAATACATTATAAACACAGTAAGTACATTGTATTTTATTTTTTGATGTAAGTACATAGTAGTTAAGGACACTTAATATAAAGTGGGACCTAAAAGTCAATTGGGTAAAAACAGCCACCAACACAACGAAAGTGTAGTCAATTTGGCCAGAGCGTATTAGTGAAATTTCCGAAGAGTTTTCCCTAAATATTTGTCAACATTAGATTTGTCAACAAAAATCATTCCATTAGCTGAAACCCAGAGAAAGTTGTGGCCAAATTAAGCCTCAACATCACCCCAGAGTGCATGAAAACACCCCCAACAGCACACAAAGGTTAAATAATTGTTTTTAATTATCTAAGTAGGATGTCAAACTTCATCTGCCATCAAAACATGATCTTTGACACCATGCAGAAGTGCCCATACCGATGCAGACGACGTCCATGAAGCCGTACATGCCGTAGCAGATCTGGAAGAGCAGGTCCTGCCGCTGCCACTTGGCTGAAGGACTGAGAGACGACCAAACCAGCCACGAGATGCTGGCGATCAGGAACAGGGAACCAAGGATCGCCGCCGCTATCTGGACCTTCTCTATGACTGTGAGCGAAATCGCCTGCCACTTCATCAAAACACACACACAGACACTCTTGCTTGTTTACATAACAGTATTCCATTATGGACCCTTTTCACAAGACATGTTTAACAGTCATCAGCATCAGTTTGGAAGTTTTTAATTAAAAGTATAAATATTTATATGTATTTATATATGTATTATATCATATTTGCATCAAATTACAATAAACTTTTCACCGCTTGTGTGAGGTGTCTCTAATGCAGCGTCTAAGGAAGCAGGAAAGTAAATCTGACATTATTCTCTCTTCCGGCTGCCGTTATCAGTCTCAAAGTATTTGTTTTCCTTCTTTTGAAAGTCTTAACACCATCCTGGAGTTTTTCTTTTATTATTTCAGCAAATATGATTGTAATAAAAGTATTTGTTATACTCTCCCTTTCACTGCGCTCTAAGATTACCTAATAATGACGACTTCTGCAGCCGAGAAACCCCGGAAATGTGAAAAGGGTCCATTATTCTGCATGTTCTAAAACAGCAGATTATACGAGAGGGGTCTGGATGCAGACTTGGTGCAGATGCAATCTGAGCTGCATGCAATGCTTTTTAATGCGCTCACCTAACCCCACCCCTAACCCAGTGATGTCACTAGCTCCATTGAGTGCATTGTGTCTGACATTGCATCTCTGAGATAGGCAATCTCAGCTTGCATCATCAAGGCTGCATTCAGATACTATTGGATAACACAATGTATTTCACATGTCATGTATATACTGTTATTTAAAACCACACAGACACAAAGGAATGACTGCATAATTTAACATTATAATTATTATTATTAATATTATTTTATTTATATATGCAGTTGAAGTCAGAATTATTAGCCCTCCTGAATTATTAGCCGTCCTGTATATCCCCATTTTTGTTTAACTGAAAGAAGACTTTTTCAACACATTTCTAAATCATAATAGTTTTAATAACTCATTTTTAATAACTGATTTATTTTATCTTTGTCATGATGACAGCACATAATATTTGACTAGATGTTTTTCAAAATATTCAGCTTAAAGTGACATTTAAAGGCTTAACTAGGTTAATTAGGCAAGTTGGGGTAATTAATAATGATAATAATAATAATAACAATAAAAATAAATTATTAAATAAATAATAAATATTGTTTAAGGGGGCTAATAATTTTGACTGTAAAAAGTTTTTTTTTTTTAATGAAAATCTGCTTTTATTTCAGCCAAAATAAAACAAACAAGAATTTCTCCAGAAGAAAAAATATTATAGGAAATACTGTGAAAACTTCCTAAATCTGCTAAACATCATTTGGGAAATATTTAAAAAAGAAAATAAATTCACAGGAGGACGAATAATTCTGACTTCAACTGTATATTGCAGAAATACAATTCATCAAAATGTCATTTTTTTCCCCCAATATCATTTACATTACATTTACATTTAGTCATTTAGCAGACGCTTTTATCCAAAGCGACTTACAAATGAGGACAAGGAAGCAATTTACACAACTAAGAGCAACAATGAATAAGTGCTATAGGCAAGTTTCAGGTCTGTAAAGTCTAAGAAGGGATGTATTAGTAGTATTAGTAATATCGTTTTTTATTTGTATTCCAATATTTTAACATTCAAATGATTCTAATAAACTAAATCATTTTGAGTTTTAAAACACTTCTGTAAAAACCTTAACTGGTCTAATGAGTCAGATTGATTCTAATTTATGTACTACTGTAAATAGGTACAAATTTGGAGATTTGTTATGTTTGTTAATGCATCAGTGCTGAGTATAAATAAGTACAACTCTCTCATACACTCTCAGAAAAAAATGGTACAATGTTGTACCAAAGAAGGTACAAACCCTTGTCATTGGGGAAGCACCTCTTTATGTCAGGGTTTTGCCACTCTGGTCTTGTAAATTCTTGTTTTAGTGGCAGAGCTCGGACACTACCCATGTCTGGTCCTGTTTCTGTCTCTGTGTGCGCGCGCGCCGTCGTGGGTGTACGCAGAGTGTGCGCGCTCCTGCTTGATGCAGTCCCTCAGACGCGTGCGCTCTTGTACTCGTGTTTGTGTTTTCGTCTGTCAGCAGCGTGGTGTTTCATTCCCCGCGTCTCAGTCTTGTTGGTTTTAGTCGGCGCTGGGATGAAGCATGCACGCTGCGTGTGTGAGCGCACGGTGAGTGTTTTCATTCATCGTGTGCTCGTGTCTTGCGTCTCTCATCAAAGCACATGGCTTGGTGTTTACATTGTGGTCACGTGCTTTTGTCGTGTGCTTCAGTGTTGTGTTTGTCTTGTCGTGAACATGCGGTTAATGAGTTCTCTCATTGGCCGCATGTTCTTGTCCTGTGTTATGTGAGCGCATTGCTTGTGTTGTCTCTCTGTGTCATGCGCTCTCCCGTCTATTGTCTAGTCCCACCCTCCTTGTTAACTCATTATTAGTTTGTCATGTTCACCTGTTTGTGTCGATTTACTTTTGCTTTAAAATCCCCTCATGTTTTGAGTCCTGTGCCAGTTCGTTGTCTACACTCCCCGTGTTCCTGCTCCAGTCTTGCCTTGTTCTTGTTGTGTCAAGTTTGTTAGTGTTAAAGTTATGTTTTTCCCCCTCGGGGTGGTTTTTGTTGTTCTTTTATTTTATTTCTATTATCAATTATCCTGCATTTGCACTTGAGTCCTCGCTCCCTCATCCTTCCTGAAACCCTGACACTTTTTGAGACAAAGAAAGACAAAGAAACACATCTGTAGCAGTTGTAGTTCTGTTGCAGTTCTACCAGTCTGTATCTGTTGCAGTTTGTACCTTTAAGGACATGATTTATACCATGAGAGACCAAAATGTACCTTTGGCTTTTAAAACCTGCCGATGTACCCTCATCAAAGATACAAATCTGATCATGAAGGCACCACCACAGAGACAAGACACTTTTTACCTTAACAGTGTCAAATGTGTTCCTTCAAGAACTGTTTAAAGGCATTTTGCTACTGTATATCCAAAATGCATCAATTTATTTTCAGTAAAAATAAAACATCAAATACATTTATAAACAATGATTTGTTTTAAGTTTGTTTGTGTGTAAATGCAGCTTTTCCATTTACAATAAAGAATAAAAAATACTTTAATACAGATCAAAAGATCTATTTCTTTCTAAACATTTCACACTTTTCACACAAATGTTACAGCATTACATTCCCCTACATTCACATTTTTCCTCCAGTTTTTACACAATACCTTTGTAATAAATTAAAAGTTCATTTGATTTACTTCATTTTCAAATAGAAATATAATCAACAGTATTGTAATGAGATATGCACAATGTTTGATTAGTTTTACTATAGTAAAATGTCTGCATTAACACTTTGCATATGCAGGACTTTTGCCAGCTCACGTGTGTAGTGGAAAGCACATTCATAGTGGATATCAATAATGAAAATCTATTCATCAGAAACTTATCAAATGTTTATTAAAAGTGCTTAAATGTTTAGTTTACAATACCTATAGCTTGGTTTTACCAGTTATTTTGTTCTATAGAACTTAATAATTAATGTTTATGAGTTTCTTAAATGATGATGTATGTTTTAATATGGAAATGATTCATAAAATCAACTTGCCTTTCCAGTAATATTTATTTTCATAAATATTGTAATGGAGTTGTCCAACAGTTAAGTACTTTTTTAATGAAAACAACTGTCTACCTTCATTTCTATTGTACCATAAAAGGTACAGAACAGTATCATAAGAGGTCTTTTCTGTACCATATAAGGTACAACTTTTACAAAGGTACAAAACTGTTCCTTAAGAAACATCATTAGTACCACCTTGTACCTTTTTTTTCTGAGAGTGTAGATCTTTCTTTAAAATTCATATTTTCTATATGATGCTTAGCATTAATATATTTGTGCATACACTGTACATTAGATTACCAAAGACAAATCTTGAACTAGTCTAACAAAATACCTGAAGTTTCAATCACAGTCCAAATATTAGTACACCCAAAATATGTTGAAGAAAAATATTAAATAACATTTTAACAAATAGGAAAAATCAAGACAAACACAAAAATATACAATTTCTAAAGATGTTTGATAGTCAACCTCTTATTTTAATAAATATAACTGGCTGCCTTGTTAAAATGCAGCAAAAAATAAAAATAAAAATAATTTTATATATATATATATATATATATATATATATATATATATATATATATATATATAGTTACTGAAAAAGGAATAAAAAGATTGATTTTCAAAAAAGGTGTACTCATTTACGCTGAGCACTGTATGTATTTACAGTTGAAGTCAGAATTATTAGCCCCCACTGAGTTATTAGCCCCCTGTTTATTTTTTTCTCCAATTTCTGTTTAACGAGATCAGATTTCTAACACATTTCTAATAATAATAGTTTTAATAGCTCATTTCTAATAACTGATTTCTTTTATCTGCCATGATGACAGTAAATAATATTTGACTAGATATTTTTCAAGACACGTCTATACAGCTTAAAGTGACATTTAAAGGCTTAACTAGGTTAATTAGTTTAACTGGGCAGATTAGGGTAATTAATTATGCAAATTATTGTACAGAATAATGATTATTTGTTCTGTAGACTATCGATAAAAAATGCAGCTTAAAGGGGCTAATAATATTGACCTTAAAATAGGTTTTAAAAAATTAAAAACAGCTTTTATTCTAGCCGAAATAAAACAAATAAGACTTTCTCCAGAAGAAAAAATATTATCAGACATAAAATTTCTTTGCTCAGTTAAACATCATTTGGGAAATATTTATAAAAAAAAAAACAAAATTCAAAGCGGGCTAATAATTCTGACTTCAACTGTAAATATTCTTATATGTGTATATATATTGTTCTTTAGCATTTTTAAGTACACAGCTGTTCAAAACATTTTTTATATTTAATTGTATTAATTTGTTTTTTAGCAAGAATACTTTAAATTAGTCACAATTAGCTCTAAAGACATTGACAAAGTTATAAACAAAGTTATATTACTATTCATCAAAGAATCGTGCAAATAATTTTATCACATTTTACATTGTTCATAACACTAACAGTCTTGAACACTGCTTTGAATAGTTGAGTGAAGATGATGAGGTGTTTTACCTGCAGTGGGTTCTTGGTGCTGATGGCGATCACTTGATACTTGTAGTAGCAGAGTTCACAGGTCCACGAGCCTCTTTCACTGATCCACTTAATGAGACACGGCTGATGAGTGCTGCGGACCGACCCGCTGCAGCGACACGGACTCAACAGCTCACCCTACACACACACACACACATTTTTGTGAATGGTGGGGACATTCAAAGTAAATTTTTATTAGTCATATACACAGTACAGTACGCAGTGGAATGCACATACAACCAGCTGTGACTTTAAAAATAAGATCATCAATAGGAAAAAAATAAATATGGAATAAAATAAGTGATAAAATAAAATAGAAAACTTTAGAAATAGAACATACACTCCCCGGCCACTTTATTAGGTACACCTGTCTAACTGTTCGTTAATGCAAATCTGCAGCAACTGTGTGATGCTATTAAGCCAATATCGTGGACCAAAATCTCTGAGGAATATTTCCAGTATCTTGTTGAATCTATGCCACGAAGGATTAAGGCAGTTCTGAAGGCAAAAGAGGGTCCAACCCGGTAATAGTAAGGTGTACCTAATAAAGTGGCCGATGAGTGTATTTTGACTTTGTTTCGAGATTCATTCATTATTTTGTTGACTGATTTCCACATAAAGATCCTGCACACTAAGATGACTGCATGAACGTTTTCTTTGCTCTATAAAATCAAGGTTTTCTTGTATTTGTGAGTATCCATTACAGTGTTTACTATGAATTATTATAATCTAGTTTATAGGCATTGGAAATGTTACTACCTAATATGCAGTCATTAAAGTAAGTTTTGCTTTTGTTTGCTCCTGTATAAATGTGTTTTTATATAAAGTTCTGTTTTTATCTGCACCTTTTCTAGCCTGTTTATTTTTCAGTGTTTTATCTCTGTGTTTAGGAGCTGCAGTTGACAGTTCATGCATAATGAAAGATGAAGAAGTGTGCGAATTGACAATTTCAGAACAAATAATTCATCTTCCTCTTGGACACTGAATGAATTTCAAACGGAAAAATAAGACTGAACTAAAGGACGGCATTCATACAAAGTGACTCTTTCACTGCATAATGTATAGGGAGCAGTTCTGTGAAACTAATGCGGACTTCATGCTGTATATTTAAAGGAATAATGAGGTCAAAATACAAATATCAATCAGAACCAGATCAGCTTCTATTGTATTCACAGAAAGTCGAGCAGCTTTGGAACAACATTCCCAGGGGGGTGAGTAAATGATCAATTATTAATGATAAATATATTTAAATAAGGCAGCATGCCTCAGTGGTTAGCACTGTTGCCTCACATCAAGAAGATCTCTGGTTCGAGCCCCAGCTGGGCCAATTGGCATTTCTGTGTGGAGTTTGTATGTTCTCCCTGTGTTGGCATGGGTTTCCTCCGGGTGCTCCGGTTTCCCCCACAGTGCAAATACATGCGGTATAGGGGAATTGAATAAGCTAAATTGGCTGTAGTGTATAAGTATGTGTGTGTGAATGTAAGTGTGCATGGGTGTTTCCCAGTACTGGGTTGCAGTTGGAAGGGCATCCGCTGTGTAAAACGTATGCATGAATAGTTCATTCCACTGTGGCAACCGCTGATAAATAAGGGACTAAGCCAAAGGAAAATTAATAAATTAATGATTAAATAGACAAACCCAAAATTGTATTTAAAAAATTTACTCAATCATTAATGGCGAATAATTTACCCAAAATGGAATCTAAAAAAATTAATTTGAGTGCAGGAATATTTGTATTTATTATTTTCTTTTGCAGGACTATTTTATGTTTAGGTATAATGAGTTTAACTAATGAGCGAAGCAGTGGCGCAGTAGGTAGTGCTGTCGCCTCACAGCAAGGGCGCTGGTTCAATCCTCGGCTCAGTTGGCGTTTCTGTGTGGAGTTTGCATGTTCTCCCAGCCTTCGTGTGGGTGTGCTCCGGTTTTCCCTACAGTCCAAACACATGCGGTATAGGGTAATTAAAGAAACTAAATTGGCCATAGTGTGTGTGGATGTTTCCCAGAGATGGGTTGCGGCTGGATGGGCATCCTCTGCGTAAAAACTTGCTGGATAAGTTGGCGGTTCATTCCGCTGTGGCGACCCCAAATTGATAAAGGGACTAAGCCGACAAGAAAATGAATGAATGAAGTTTAACTTATGTTTTTAACCAGGCTCATTCTGAGAACAGCAGACGTTTCTGGAGACCGTGAAATACGTCCCGGGAGTTACGTATTTTTGCAGTTTGTGTTTTTGCGAATCCGCGAGAGGCCGCTGTGCACGCTTTTTCGCATCTCAAACGTCTCTTGTGGCCGCCATTCTCGCGTAAACTCACAAGAGGCCGCTGTCGAACGACCGTCCATCGAACTGGTTAAATGATTGACTGAGCGACCGGCCAATCGGCCGACACACCCTCCTCCTCCTTCCCTAAACCCAAGCAGTTTTACCGATTTACCCACCCCCACAAAAAAAAGAAGCTGTCCAGAAAAAGATAAGCCCTTGTCTGATTTTTATCATGTTTTCGGATTTTACCACATTCTCACCCTGTAATGAACTTATTGCTTTATTTTTTGGATTCTGTTTTTGTCTTATCTGATTTCTGGAACTGCTCTTCCCCGGACTTGAACCCGGTCGTCGTCATGTTCAGCTCCTCTCTGGGTCTTAAGTCTGCCGGCGTACACGACGAGCTAACCGGACAAACTAGTTGCATCGAAAAAGCCCTCCACACGGAGGTAAGCGGCCAGCCAGCAAGCGCGAAAGGGAACGGCGTCGCACCGCCCCGTATCGTTCGCTTAAAAAAAGTGCGGCAATACGTACCTCCGGGTATAATTCGCCGTCTCCAGAAACATCCGCTCTGAGCCTGGGTTGAATGTTTTAGTTGTTTCATTCATTCATTCATTTTCTTTTCGGCTTAGTCCCTTTATTAATCTGGGGTCGCCACAGAGAAATGAACCGCCAACTTATCCAGCATATGTTTTAGCGGATCCCCTTCCACCTGCAACCTATCACTGGGAAACACCCATACACTCTCATTCACACTCATACACTATGGACAGTTTTAGCTTACCCAATTCACCTGTACCGCATGTGTTTGGACTATAGGGGAAACCAGAGCACCCGGAGAAAACCCACGTGAACATGGGGAGAAGATGCATACTCCATACAGAAACGCCAACTGACCCAGCTAAGGCTCGAACCAGTGACCTTCTTGTTGTTAGCTGTTTCAACAAAAACGTTCTAGACTAGTTTCACCTGTTTTTTCATCAGATCCTCTGGGAGGCACCTCCTGTAGTGTTTTTATTATCGGACAGTGTTGTTTTGAGTTATAGGTGTAATAATATTCCTCTGTGCTGCATGTGTGTGTGCATGTCAGCATTAAGTGAATGTGTATGGATGTAGACGTCCTGACTGGTGTGTGTGTGTGTGTGTGTGTGTGAAGCGTATCGGAGCAGCAGACACAGGAACAGGTGCATCGCAGTGTGAGCAGAAAACACACGAGCGATAACGCTAGCCACACACTGAGACGCACACACACACAACGTGACCTCTCGTTTCTCTGCACAGAACATGAGCTGGAGTCAAATGCTTCGTAGACGATCAGCTGAGGTCAAACTGAAGCATTAATGCGTACAGGACAGCTCCGTTTGCTCTGTTGATTGCTTAAACAGTTAATTGAGAGAAGCTGATACTTAAAACGTGATTGAGAAGTCCATTATGTTTCCTGAACAAAGAATGAGCAACCTTTAAGTGCATATAATGAGATTTAAAACTAGAGGCCCTCTGCCAACTAATACCTGGGTATCCAAGAGTATTCTAACTGAAGTCCAAATTCAGGCTGGTAAAATCCTATTTACGATGATTCTGATAAGATAGACAGATAGACAGACAGACAGACGGACGGACGGATGGATGGATGGAAGAAAAGAGTGAAAGAAATAGATACAGTAGATGGATATATATATATGATAGAGATAAACGGATGGATGGATGGAGAGAGAAATAGATACAGTGGATAGATGATAGATAGATAGATAGATAGATAGATAGATAGATAGATAGATAGATAGATAGATAGATAGATAGATAGATAGATAGATAGATAGATAGATAGATAGATAGATAGATAGATAGATAGATAGATAGATAGATAGATGAATGATAGAGAGATAAACGGATGGATGGATGGATGGATGGATGGATGAAAGGACGGACGGACGGACAGCCAGATAGATAGATAGATAGATAGATAGATAGATAGATAGATAGATAGATAGATAGATAGATAGATAGATAGATAGATAGATAGATAGATAGATAGATAGATAGATAGATAGATGGATGGATGGATGGATGGATGGGTGGATGGATGGATGAAAGGACGGACGGATGGACAGCTGGACAGACAGACAGACAGACTGACAGATAGACAGATAGACAGATAGACAGATAGATAGATAGATAGATAGATAGATAGATAGATAGATAGATAGATAGATAGATAGATAGATAGATAGATAGATAGATAGATGAATGATAGAGAGATAAACGGATGAATGGATGGATGGATGGATGGATGAAAGGACGGACGGACGGACAGCCAGATAGATAGATAGATAGATAGATAGATAGATAGATAGATAGATAGATAGATAGATAGATAGATAGATAGATAGATAGATAGATGGATGGATGGATGGATGGATGGATGGATGAAAGGACGGACGGACGGACGGACAGCCAGATAGATAGATAGATAGATAGATAGATAGATAGATAGATAGATAGATAGATAGATAGATAGATAGATAGATAGATAGATAGATAGATGGATGGATGGATGGATGGATGGATGGATGGATGGATGATAGAGAGATAAACGGATGGATGTATGGGTGGATGGATGGATGAAAGGACGGACGGATGGACAGACAGTCAGACAGACAGACAGACAGACAGACAGATAGATAGATAGATAGATAGATAGATAGATAGATAGATAGATAGATAGATAGATAGATAGATAGATAGATAGATAGATAGATAGATAGATTAACGGATGGATGGATGGATGGATGGATGGATGGATGGATGGATGAAAGGACGGATGGACAGCCGGATAGATAGATAGATAGATAGATAGATAGATAGATAGATAGATAGA